TTTTTTCATTTTGGTTTTGGAGACAAATAACGAAGAAAACTGTTGTTTTTCGTTTTCTTATTTTTGGTTTTATATTGAAAAACGAATGAACAAATGATACACGGATTGTTTGGTCACCCTACTGTAACTACTACTACTGCTGCTACTTTATAATCCTACAAAGATCTACTACTAGACTCTGCTGCTTACACATATTTGCATGTACCTTGTCTACTACTACAACACAGCGTTTGTGTACAGGACCTCACCCTAAACGCTCCTGCACACAGTGAATCAGAAACACCTTCCTCTTAAATAAACACGTGTCTTACTAATACTCCTTTATTAGCGGTGATAGGACGTGGGCGGGGCGGTTAAACCCGGGCTCAGGTCAGACTTTGGTATGTGAGCAGTGTTACTCAGACAATACAAGGCCTGGTTGTGTTTGAAACTGGCCTCTGAACAGTCAGTGTGCAATAATAAACCTGCTAAATATTATTGTTTTATGAGTGCGCATGTTCAAACAAATGAAGACACCCGCTGCGGTCACAATACCTCCAGTGTGTACGGGCTGACATCTTTTTAACATCCTTAAAACTTCTGCGTTTCCAGATTTTTTTAAGCTGCACAGCAAAAAGTTGTGAAATACTGACAATAAAGGGGCCTGTAACACTGTTTTCTGAGATGATATAGAGGAATTATCAGTCATTTCCACTGTTGGGCAAGTGACTTTAAAACTGTAACGTGTTATTTATTACTCATTACTGTCATTTCAGAGTAATTTGTTACTTTACGATATTACTGTATTTAAAATGTAAAATATTACACGACTGTTGCAACACTTTTAAGTTACTCTCATCAAAATAACTGCAAAGATGGTGAACTTTTGCGCCGTATATGGACTGAACCAGGACTGAACCGTGGACAGAACCAGGACTAAACCAGGTCTAAACCAAGAATAAACCAGGACTAAACTAGGACTAAACCAGGACTAAAACTAGGACTAAACTAGGACTAAAAACTAAAACAGGACTAAACTAGACTAAACCAGGACTAAACTAGGACTAAACCAGGACTAAACTAGGACTAAACCAGGACTAAACTAGGACTAAACAGGACTAAACCAGGACTAAACCAGGACAAAACTAGGACTAAACTAGGACTAAACTAGGCTTAAACCAGAGCTAAACCAGGACTAAACCAGAGTTGAACCAGGACAAACTAGGACTAAACCAGGACAAAACTAGGACTAAACCAGGACAGGACTAAACTAGGCTTAAACCAGAGCTGAACCAGGACTAAACCAGAGTTGAACCAGGACTAAACTAGGACTAAACCAGGACAAAACTAGGACTAAACCAGGACTAAACTAGGCCTAAACCAGAGCTGAACCAGGATTAAACCGGGACTAAACTGGGACTAAACCAGGACTAAACTAGAGCTGAGCTAGGACTGAACCAGGTTTAAACCAGAACTAAACCAGGTCTAAACTACGACGAAACTAGGACTAAACCAGGACTAGACCAGAACTAAACCAGGTCTAAACTAGGACTAAACCAGGACTAGACCAGAACTAAACCAGGTCTAAACTAGGACTAAACCAGGACTAGACCAGAACTAAACCAGGTCTAAACTAGGACTAAACCAGTACTAGACCAGAACTAAACCAGGTCTAAACTACGACTAAACTAGGACTAAACCAGGACTAGACCAGAACTAAACCAGGTCTAAACTAGGACTAAACCAGGACTAAACCAGAGCTGAACCATGTCTAAACCAGGACTAAACCAGGACCAAACCAAGACTAATCTTTGACTAGAACTTGGAATCTAGGAGCGCCCCTGAGAGAACCCCCGAGCGCGATCAGGCGTCAGCTGCGTTTAATTCCGTGGAGCGCGGAGTTCTGCGTCAGTCCGGTTTGCACGGTCTCGTTTCACCGCTGCTGTTATCGCGGTGATTTTAGCAAATTTATATGAAGAAAAACAAAACAAAAAACACCACTTCAATCCAGTTTAAAAAAGCATTGTGACGCACGTTACTCACATTTGTACCGAGTAAAATATTACCTCTTTTTTCACTGTAACACCACATCACTGCGTTACAGCAAAAAGCAACGCAGCACAGTAATTTGTTACTTTTATAACGCGAACACTGGTCATTTCTCTTGCACTGTCTCCTGCAGAAAGAGCCTCTGTCCTGTCTGGTATCATGTCAGTGTCTTGTGGGATTTCAGCAGATCTCCGTCTTTCTCGGGGGGCGGGGTTAGGTGTATCAATCAGGTGTGAGTGGATGTCCGACTACTGAAGCTTGAGACGTTTCTTCTCGTCATTTACGCACTCGCCTGCATTTAACGCAGACGTGTCTTTAAGATGTATCCCACTCACTAATGTCGGTTTAACATCATAACTGACGAGGGGCGTAACAGTACACAGAAAATCACAGTACGTACCTCGGTTTTGAGGTCATGGTCCCGTTCATTTTACTACAGCTGTTTGAACAAAATGCAAAACCATTTGCTCGTTGTTCATTTGTGTATTTATTAAACCAACAATTTGTTTTAACATTATACAAACGGGAAAATAAAATACTGTATTTTCTGGGCTATTAGGCGCTCTGGATTACAAGGCGCACTGTCATTAAATGGTCTAATTTTCAAACTTTTTTCACAAATAACCCGCACTGGACTTTAAACGAAACACAACAGTGTGATGGGTGAGTGGTTTTGTTTGTTTGTGTCGTTCACGGTGACTCTGGAGCTTTGTTCAGTTGGATTGTCGGCGTGTTCGCAGTGACTCAGTTGTTCAGTCGTGTCTAGAAGCGGCACGTTGCGCTCGCTTTTTCGGTTCGTTCCTCCGTTCCGTTCCTCGTCGGCGTGGAGTGATGAGTGTGTCTGGGTGTGTTTCGCTGTGCGGTCGCTGTCTGCTCCTTGTGTGTTTGCGTGTTCTGCGGGTGGTGCGGCTTTGTAATTTACTGAAGTCGTGCAGGGTGTATAGGGCGCACTGGATTGTGGCGCGCACAGTCATTTTTTTGATGGGGTTGGAGGCTTAAGAGCGCGTCTAATAGCCCAGAAAATACGGTAAATGCAAAGTGTTGCTTAGTAATACTAACAAGTTAAGTAAAATAAGTAACAAATGTATAAAATATGAAAAATGTATTCCTTGTAAACGGTACACGAAAGTTTTCAAAAAGTAAAGTGCAGCACTAACAGTTCCAGCACAAACTTTTACTTACTCTTCATATTTTTGGCCAGAAAAAACAACTTGTCCACGTCGTCTGCAGTGTCGCTGTGCCGTGGTAGCGAAAAGCGAAACTGAGGACCGTGGCGCAACGACTGTAGTTTTTTGAGGATTGACATGGTTGGGAGGGCCGGCCTAACTATAAAGCGCTGTGGGAAACACTGCCACCCAAATCACAGATGAGCTCCCTCGTGAATATTAAAGAGCCAAGCATTCTGTGTATCTGCACATGTAGTGGTGGAATCCAAACACACACAAAAAACGAAACGGTTCAGCACGAGTACATGTACTGTTACACCCTTACACGTGGTGCTTTCTGCTCTCAGGTTGCGCTGGCATTTGCTGTGTTGATAAACAAATAATCAGTCTGTGTTTCCTCATCAACGTTCTAACAGGGCGTGAGGTTCTCAAGATCCAATTTCAAATCACTGCTCCCGTCACGCAGGAAGTCACGCAGCCCTTATGCTGTTACACTATTACACACGATCTCCTTTCTGCTTTGAAAATATGGATCAGGATCTGGCTCTGATCTGACTCTCACCTGTTTCTCACCTGTGTCTTGTTTGTGTGAAGGATGGGCTGAGCAAATCGGACATGGAGAAGCTGACCTTCTATGCCGTGTCCGCCCCGGAGAAGCTCGACCGCATCGGGGCGTATTTGGCCGAGAGACTGAGCCGAGACGTGGTCCGCCATCGCTATGGGTGAGACACACACACACAGACACATTCTGGGATTATAAATGTCTTTATCTTCCATAATTTTGTTATAAAGACAAAAAACGGTCCACCATATTTTTCCAGCCTTGACCTGCAAGATGTAAGTTAGTCACACTTATTGCATATTTTTTTTACTCACGCTAATGTTTTTGCCATTATATTTACATTTTTATGCATTTCCACTTTCCACTGAAGATAAAAATGCATCAAAACCGTTGGAGTTAAAGATCCTATATGACACAAAACTGACTCATAAGGAAAAACACTGAATGAGGCGGTGTCCAAACTAACAGTGTAAAGACCCTTCGAGTATGAAATGCAAATCAGGATAAACAATCTGAAGTCATTTACATGTATCTTTTTGCTGCAGACTTGATCGGTCACGACTCGCTTCTGTTTTCTCCACTCCAGAGCGTACAGTAGTCTGTGTCCTGAATAGAAAGTGTAATCTGAATAAATGAAGTCTGGATGAAGTGTGCTCCTGAGAGCCGCTGTCAGAGCGTGACTACGAGTCATTTCCTCCACAACTGAGGACCTCATTAAACCGAGTGTGAGGGGGACGGAGCTGACGGTCCACAGACGGTCCACAGACGGTCCACAGACGGTCCACAGACGGTCCACAGACGGTCCACAGACGGTCCACAGACAGTCCACAGACAGTCCACAGACAGTCCCAGAGAGTCTCCAGTGTGAGGGGTGACGGCACTGACAGTCCACAGACAGTCCACAGTGTAAAAGGGACAGCGTTGACAGTCCGCAGTGTCATGCCTCGTCTCTGCTGAGGTCCCGGTCCTCACATGCCTTCACCTTCGCGGTTCAAGCGGGAGCGTTCCGGTCGGGTTGGCAGTGGACTGTTCTGTGGAGTGAACTCAGTCAAGCAGGTTTATCACAGCTCCTGATGGAGCAGGTCTGTGTGGACAAGTCTTCAGAGACTCACATTCAATTTCACTTCTGAAAGAACTTAATGAAGCTTGCCAAGATACTGAGTGCAGTTGATTAAACAAAACCGACTTTAAGTGTATGAAGTGTGTGTATTTCAAACCTTTGTGTGTCTCCACATAACTACTGTGCTGCAACTTAGTCACAAGAAAAAGTGGAAAAAAATAATAAAAAGTAAGATGATATAAACATTTAGGCCTCAAGCGTACACACTGCCAACCTTGCCAAATCCTATAGCCAGGGTTCCCACAGTTATTGAAATCATGGAAAAGTCATGGAAATTGAAAATGTCATTTTCCAGGCCTAGGCTGTTATGATTTCCAAATGTATGTGCCTTTTGTTAAAAAGAGACAACAATAAATGCACTGACAGGATTTTGAATGTTAAAAAACTATAATCCCAAACCATTAGGTGAGTGGAAAGAGTTAACATTTCATATTTAGCCTTTAAGTCTGATCAATTCTCACATGTAGGTGCTGTAAAGTCATGGAAAATTCACTTTAGGTCATGAAAACGTTACCTGAGTTACATCAGTTACCTGGAGTAGTGTTTTGTTTTTAAGCTGGGTTCTTCTCTTTATTTTGACCTTGTGATCTCACTGTGTTTTTAAACTCCGCACACCTTGCCTAAAATAATTTGGATAATTTGAGATTTGTAGCTGTTAACTTGACAATACATTTGTGAATGGAACAAAACACAACTCTATGCATGTTTTTGAGGAGGTAATATGCTAACATTTGGCATAAAACAGGCCCTTAACATGACATTGGTGCGTTCATCGTCCTTGTGTCCGTTTTCCGCAGGAACGTTGTGATCGCGATGGAGGCTCTGGACCAGCTGCTCATGGCCTGTCACTCCCAGAGCATCAAACCGTTCGTGGAGAGTTTCCTGCACATGGTGGCCAAACTGCTGGAGTCCAGGGAGCCCGACCTGCAGGTGCTGGGAACCAACTCGGTGAGTCTGAGGAACGCCAAACAACAAAAAAATCCTCCCGTCCAGAGCCCAAACCATTATTCACCTGTTTCATCGTCCAAACTCTGAAGTCCTGCGAGACGTCTGCCATCTGCCAATGATTTAGTTTTGTGCTGATTTGTTTTTTATTGCTGCGAAAAGTCGTAAAAGTGCAAGTTTTTACCAACTTCTGATCAGCAATTCTGGGTATATTAAAAAAAAAAAAGAGGGTCTACCACCTGCTTTCCTCCATGGAGAGTTGCCTGAAATGTTCCAACATATGACTTTAAACTAATTTGTATCCATCGAGAAAACATAATTACTGTACATTATTTTCTGATTTATGTTATAATGTTTTTTACTGATCAAAAACAGACCTGGAGTTGTTGTTTTGTTTCATTTTCACATTTAACACGCAAACCCTGCAGATTTACGCTGAGTTCTCCTCTCAAATTGAAAACACCACCTTGTTCCACCTTGTGATGTCATGAGGTGATACAGGAAGTGCTCCACAGTGTTTTTAAACTCAGTACTAATGATGCACCGGAATAAAAATTTGTGGCCAAAACCGAATAAAAATTAAACGCTTGGCCGAATACCGAAACTGAAAATCAAATATGGTTGTTTTTCACTTTTTTTTGTATAAATAGTCTAGAATAAATTTTTAGAAATGTTTTTAAAAGAAAATAAATGTTTATATTCCAGTAGCCTTTCCAGTAGGTTTTTCATTCATATTAGACTAGGCCTTCAAACAAAACAACAATTCCCCAAAAAAAATGTAAGTACATTAAAGTAGATAAACCCACAACTAGGGCTGAACGATTTTAAGAAAAAAACTGAAATAGCGATTTTTCTGTCAGATATTGCGATTTCGATTTCATCTTTCCACATCAAGTTTCAGTGCACATGAACATTTGCAAACATCACAGAAACTTACATCTAGGTTTGTCCCGATCCGATCACGTGATCAAAAATCGGCGCAGATCACGTGACTGTGGACTCGATCTGGACTTGGACGTTATGTGCCGATCAGGTATCGGATAAATAATATATGTATATAACACACAGGAGACAACAGTTTTGTTTTGTTTGTTTTAACTGAGGTGCGGGATTTGCTCAGGGACATTCAGTCAGCGTGACTGTCTGTCCCAGCACCTGCTGTACTAGAGACACACTCGCTCTGGCACTTTTGGGCCGTGTCGTGCTCGGGCGCTGTTACCTGTGGTTCTGTGGTCCGTGTTCCCACCTGCGAGGCCGAGGGCGATCGTCACACGGTGCTGTTTGTTTGCATGTTGCGCAACGAAGTCGGTGCTTTTGGCGGGGAGAGTGGGAAAAGCAGCATGAAGTGTCTATAGGCGAGTTTCAGCTGACGTCATTGTTATTAAAAGCCCGCGTTGCTGCTGGGAAATATTTTGGTCGGAGGCAAGAAACACGATAGCGTCAAACACAGTGCGTAACCTCGCGTATTTATCCCCGATAATGGTAAATTCCTGCTGCATTATCGGATGCACAAATAGAAGCACGGAAGAAGGAAAATGTCTTTTTCGTATTCTGAGTGAAAAGAACCTCTAACGGTGAATTAAACGACTTTCAAACATTCGCAGAGCAAATGTAGAAGATCCTAACAAACCGTGGACTCAAACAAGTTCAACAACACATCGAGACTCTTGGAGGTTTTCATCTTTTCTGCTGTGAATGGTCCAGGAGTTTCCACCAAGTCATTGTGGATTATCGCCAAGTGAATATTTGTCCAGGTAGTTGGAGATTCTGACCAGAAATTTGGTTTGGTCCAACTTTTGTCGGGGTTGAAAAGGGTGATTTGTCGTCCGTCGATGCTTATGACCAATTTCTGGTCAAATGGTCTTGGGTCCTCTGCCGTTAGAGTGGATAAATAACCGGATCAATACCCTTTACGTGCTTTCTCGCTCCGTCCGTCATGTTGAATTAGTGTTTCTTGCCGCCGACCAAAATAATTCCCAGCATGCAACGCGCGCTTTTGTCAACAATGAAACTCGCCTATTGAGCGGTGGGACCGATGTTGCGGTGCGTTCCGCTGTGGACTTGTGGATGTGGGGGCGGTCAGGGGAAGAGAGGCTGTGGGGCTTCTGTCATCTCCTTTTTATTTGGTAAGATTTTGTATTATTTGGACGGATCATAGACGAGCCTAAACGTTTCAAATGCTTCCATATAATATCAAATATACAAACTGTAGATTCAGGTCTGAGCTGATTCTGGTCTGGTTCCTGTTTTGTCCAGTACATTAAGTTTACGAAGTTACACATTCCAAGACCAGACTGTGAAAAGTCAAGATTTTCAATGGTGGTTCATGGTTAGAAAAGTTAATAAAATTTAAGATTTTTCACACTAAGTTCAACCCAAATACTACACAATCTGATCCTCCCAAACATCCTGGATCTTATTCTTTGCTCTTAGTTCTTTTCATAATTTTTATAGAAGTATCGTATCGGGACTCGGGGCAAAAAAATGTGATCGGGACATCCTTAAAGGGAGATACGTTTAATAGTTTAATGTCATACGGTGGAACATTCCAGGCAAAGCAATAACATCTCCAAGCTGACAGGCAGGTCCCAGAACTTCATTCAGTAAAGTTACATCGTGCACTTTTTAAATAAACATCTCTTGAGTTTAATGTTCTGAGAATCGAGCAGAGAACAGAACGAGCGCCGTCCCGTTTCCAGGCGCAGCGTTCAGCCTTCGCCCTCGGGTTTAAAAGACCTGTACCTGACTTGAATGATTTTAATGTTTTAATAATTACGTGGCATTTTCTCGGGTCGTAACTAATGCAGAAGCTGCTGACCTTTTTTCAGCACATTAGGCACATTGTTACCGAGAACCATGGGAAATGAACTGCCTGACACCGGCCCAGACGCTTCATTCTAAGTCACGGAGCGTTTTCAAGAGCGACAAAAACGCAGATAGTAGTGCAGCGTTTCAGTTCGGATGCCAGTTTTGATACTAAAGCTTTAAGTTTTTGCTGATTCTTGAAACTGATGCCAGAGCAGCAACTAAAAACATCTTTTATTTTATGGAGACAGTATTGCTTTGCTCTGGAATGTTTCACAGTTTTAAACCTTTGTATCTTCACGGAGACCAAACCAGACGAAGTGACAGGTCAGATCTGTGGAGAGGAATAGAGAGAATACCTGTTTTTCTAGGTGTTTTATGCTGTAAAATCTATTAAAAATGCTATAAAACCACCTGTAATTTAGATGGGTATATGTTTAAAATCATACTGTGGAACATTTCAGGCAGAGCAATGGCATCTCCATAGAATCAAGCAGGTGACGGATCCACCATTAAAAAAGTTACACGATGCACCTTTAAAACAAAAATAAAATAAGACCAAACTGATCCAAATGTGTTACGAAGCTGTTATTTATTGCTCAGGTAACTACGGAAAAAAGTTGTGTAAATAAAAGTTCAAACATTGAGACTTTTGGGCCAATTACGGCCACTAAATGATCTTACTGCATTCAATTTATGTGGCCCACCAGAATCAATATTTGAAAGCCCAAATCTGACCCAGCAAATATTTAAAGGTGCATTGTGTAACATTTCTGGTGGAGGGTCCGTCAAATGGGTTTCTCCATGGAGATGTTATTGCTTTGTCTGGAATGTTTCACAGTGTGGCTTTAAACCTTTCTACCATCATGGCGATCAAACCAGACCAAGTCACATGTTAGGTGTTTCCTTCGACTTATAGGCGAGTTTCATTGTTGACAAAAGCGCGCGTTGCATGCTGGGAATTATTTTGGTCAGCGGCAAGAAACACTAATTCAACATGACGGACGGAGCGAGAAAGCACGTAAAGATTATTGATCCCGGTTATTTATCCACTCTAACGGCAGAGGATCCAAGACCATTTGACCAGAAATTGGTCATAAGCATCGACGGACGACAAATCACCCTTTTCAACCCCGACAAAAGTTGGACCAAACCAAATTTCTGGTCGGAATCGCCAACTACCTGGACAAATATTCACTTTGGCGATATCCACAATGACTTGGTGGAAACTCCTGGGCCATTCACAGCAGAAAAGATGAAAACCTCCAAGAGTCTCGATGTGTTGTTGAACTTGTTGGAGTCCACGGTTTGTTAGGATCTTCTACGTTTGCTCTGCGAATGTTTGAAAGTCGTTTAATTCACCGTTAGCGGTTCTTTTCACTCAGACATTTTCCTTCTTCCGTGCTTCTATTTGTGCATCCGATAATGCAGCAGGAATTTACCATTATCGGGGATAAATACGCGAGGTTACGCACTGTGTTTGACGCTATCCGTGTTTCTTGCCTCCGACCAAAATATTTCCCAGCAGCAACGCGGGTTTTTAATAACAATGACGTCAGCTGAATCTTGCCTATACTACGGTGCGACTTATATATTAAAATGTTTCAGTGAAGTGGTGAGAGGTTCTAGTCTTGTGTGTGAGTATCTGCTGCTCCTGTTCCTCCTGTACCACTGTCACTTGGCTCTACTGCGCATGTCTCCTGCAGAAAGAGCCTCTGTTCTGTCTGTATCATGTCAGTCGATCGCACCATTACTTCTGCACCACTGAACAATTTAACATTTAAACAAACTTATGAAGACGACGGAGAAGACTGAACACAGATGAAGAAAAAAGAAAATCAGATTTTGCAGATCACAAACTGCAAGTCGTGAAATCTGCAGCTGAAAACGATAATCGAGCAGCAGAAAGAAAGTTTTGGAGTGAGAGAGAAACTTGTGACACCGGGAGGATGCACCATGAAACTTTCCTGAAGTCACTGGATGGACGGACAAAGTCTGGACTTCAGTGACACCGAAACCATCCTGTCGGGATTCAGAAAGACCCGAATAATTCTAACTGGAACTGATGCTGAGGAAGCGGCGCTCTGTTTACCTCCAGAGGTCGAGGCCGAGTTGTTCAGAAGTGACACCGAGGATGAAGAATTGAATGGATTTAGTGATTTGGAGTGAGATGGAGAGTTTGTTAAACTTGTTCTGTT